GCACCACCAGGTACCCGAGCACCCCGGAGCACTGGGTGCAGCACAGACAACGTGTAATATTATTTCACGCAAATACAGAGAAGTTCTTATTTAAATTATCACTCACTTCTTTATCAGTTATTGTGATAATTTGTAACGAAGTATTATTTGGGTGGTTGTCTTCACACACCACACCACCCACCACGCCACCCACCACACCACCCACTACACCAGCCACCACACCACCCACCACGCCACGCACCACACCACCCACTACACCAGCCACCACACCACACCACCCACCACACCACCCACCACACCACCACACCATCCACCACACCACCCACCACACCACCCACCACACCACACCACCCACCACACCACCACCCACCACACCACCCACCACACCACCACACCACCCACCACACCACCCACCACCACCCACCACACCACCCACCACACCACCCACCACACCACCCACCACACCACCCACCACACCACCCACCATACCACCCACCACACCACCCACCACACCACCCACCACACCACCCACCACACCACCCACCACACCACCCACCACACCACCCACCACACCACCACACCACCCACCACACCACCCACCACACCACCCACCACACCACCCACCACCCACCACACCACCACACCACCCACCACACCACCCACCACACCACCCACCACACCACCCACCACACCACCCACCACACCCACCACACACCCACCACACCACCCACCACACCACCCACCACACCACCACACCACCCACCACACCACCCACCACACCACCCACCACACCACCCACCACACTACCACACCACACCACCGCACCACCCACCACACTACCACACCACCCACCACACCACCCACCACCACCACCCACCACCACACCACCACACCACCACACCACCCACCACACACCCACCACACCACCCACCACCCCACCACACCACCCACCACACTACCACCCACCACACCCACCCACCACACCACCCACCACACCACCCACCACACCACCCACCACACCACACCACCACACCACCGACCACACCACCCACCACACCACCCCCCACACCACCCACCACACCACCCACCACACCACCCACCACACCACCCACCACTCCACCCACCACACCACCACACCACCCACCACACCACCCACCACACCACCCACCACACCACCCACCACACCACCCACCACACCACCACACCACCCACCACACCACCCACGAATAAGGCAGCTTCGAGGAAATGTATTGATCGAGGGGCCACAATCATCCCGCCATAACAACCCCAGCTTCTGGGGGTGGTGCCCCAGCTTACCATCTACGGGGGTGGTGCCCCAGCTTCTGGGGTTGGTGCCCCAACTTACCATCTACGGGGTTGGTGCCCCAGCTTACTATCTACGGGGTTGGTGCCCCAGCTTACCATCTACGGGGGTGGTGCCCCAGCTTACCATCTACGGGGGTGGTGCCCCAGCTTACCATCTACGGGGGTGGTGCCCCAGCTTACCATCTACGGGGGTGGTGCCCCAGCTTACCATCTACGGGGTTGGTGCCCCAACTTACCATCTACGGGGGTGGTGCCCCAGCTTACCATCTACGGGGGTGGTGCCCCAGCTTACCATCTACGGGGTTGGTGCCCCAGCTTACCATCTACGGGGGTGGTGCCCCAGCTTACCATCTACGGGGGTGGTGCCCCAGCTTACCATCTACGGGGGTGGTGCCCCAGCTTACCATCTACGGGGGTGGTGCCCCAGCTTACCATCTACGGGGGTGGTGCCCCAGCTTCTGGGGTTGGTGCCCCAACTTACCATCTACGGGGTTGGTGCCCCAGCTTACTATCTACGGGGTTGGTGCCCCAGCTTACCATCTACGGGGGTGGTGCCCCAGCTTACCATCTACGGGGGTGGTGCCCCAGCTTACCATCTACGGGGGTGGTGCCCCAGCTTACCATCTACGGGGGTGGTGCCCCAGCTTACCATCTACGGGGTTGGTGCCCCAACTTACCATCTACGGGGGTGGTGCCCCAGCTTACCATCTACGGGGGTGGTGCCCCAGCTTACCATCTACGGGGTTGGTGCCCCAGCTTACCATCTACGGGGGTGGTGCCCCAGCTTACCATCTACGGGGGTGGTGCCCCAGCTTACCATCTACGGGGGTGGTGCCCCAGCTTACCATCTACGGGGGTGGTGCCCCAGCTTACCATCTACGGGGGTGGTGCCCCAGCTTACCATCTACGGGGGTGGTGCCCCAGCTTCTGGGGTTGGTGCCCCAGCTTACCATCGTCAACAGCCACAGGGACAGTACCAACAATCACAGGGACAGTACCAACAATCCCAGGCACAGTACCAACAATCACAGGGACAGTACCAACAATCACAGGAACAGTACCAACAATCCCAGGGACAGTACCAACAATCACAGGGACAGTACCAACAATCCCAGGGACAGTACCAACAATCACAGGGACAGTACCAACAATCACAGGGACAGTACCAACAATCCCAGGGACAGTACCAACAATCACAGGGACAGTACCAACAATCCCAGGGACAGTACCAACAATCACAGGGACAGTACCAACAATCACAGGGACAGTACCAACAATCCCAGGGACAGTACACAATTACAGGGACAGTACCAACAATCCCAGGCACAGTACCAACAATCCCAGGCACAGTACCAACAATCACAGGGACAGTACCAACAATCACAGGGACAGTACCAACAATCACAGGGACAGTACCAACAATCCCAGGCACAGTACCAACAATCACAGGGACAGTACCAACAATCCCAGGCACAGTACCAACAATCACAGGCACAGTACCAACAATCACAGGGACAGTACCAACAATCCCAGGGACAGTACCAACAATCACAGGCACAGTACCAACAATCACAGGCACAGTACCAACAATCACAGGGACAGTACCAACAATCCCAGGGACAGTACCAACAATCCCAGGCACAGTACCAACAATCACAGGCACAGTACCAACAATCACAGGGACAGTACCAACAATCCCAGGCACAGTACCAACAATCACAGGGACAGTACCAACAATCACAGGGACAGTACCAACAATCACAGGGACAGTACCAACAATCACAGGGACAGTACCAACAATCACAGGCACAGTACCAACAATCACAGGGACAGTACCAACAATCCCAGGCACAGTACCAACAATCCCAGGCACAGTACCAACAATCACAGGGACAGTACCAACAATCACAGGGACAGTACCAACAATCACAGGAACAGTACCAACAATCACAGGGACAGTACCAACAATCACAGGGACAGTACCAACAATCACAGGGACAGTACCAACAATCACAGGGACAGTACCAACAATCCCAGGCACAGTACCAACAATCACAGGGACAGTACCAACAATCACAGGGACAGTACCAACAATCACAGGGACAGTACCAACAATCACAGGGACAGTACCAACAATCACAGGGACAGTACCAACAATCACAGGGACAGTACCAACAATCACAGGAACAGTACCAACAATCACAGGGACAGTACCAACAATCACAGGGACAGTACCAACAATCACAGGGACAGTACCAACAATCACAGGGACAGTACCAACAATCACAGGGACAGTACCAACAATCACAGGGACAGTACCAACAATCCCGGGCGCCAAACACTCCTCTCACCTCCTCTAACTACCGTAAGGATGTAGCCAATACCTGAGGCCTGAAGCTATCTTTACCTGGCCGGGAAACCAAACACCTGAGCAGAGATAACAAACAAGAGTTCGATACCCTAGACACCCAGCCAATCAGGCACCAGAGCCATGTCAACAAATGGCGCCGCCGCAGGAATCCAGCCTCAGGGTAATGACTAGGAGAGCGCTGCACCAGTCTGACGTCACCCCCAGCGGGTTTTCTTCCTATTGGGAGTGTTGTACATGCTGCTATGGCGGTGTGTCCACTCACAGGATGAGTGGCGCTGCCCAATACTGTCACTATGGCGGTGTGTCCACTCACAGGATGAGTGGCGCTGCCCAATACTGTCACTATGGCGGTGTGTCCACTCACAGGATGAGTGGCGCTGCCCAATACTGTCACTATGGCGGTGTGTCCACTCACAGGATGAGTGGCGCTGTCCAATACTGTCACTATGGCGGTGTGTCCACTCACAGGATGAGTGACGCTGCCCAATACTGTCACTATGGCGGTGTGTCCACTCACAGGATGAGTGACGCTGCCCAATACTGTCACTATGGCGGTGTGTCCACTCACAGGATGAGTGACGCTGTCCAATACTGTCACTATGGCGGTGTGTCCACTCACAGGATGAGTGGCGCTGCCCAGTACTGTCACTATGGCGGTGTGTCCACTCACAGGATGAGTGACGCTGCCCAATACTGTCACTATGGCGGTGTGTCCACTCACAGGATGAGTGACGCTGCCCAATACTGTCACTATGGCGGTGTGTCCACTCACAGGATGAGTGACGCTGCCCAATACTGTCACTATGGCGGTGTGTCCACTCACAGGATGAGTGGCGCTGCCCAATACTGTCACTATGGCGGTGTGTCCACTCACAGGATGAGTGGCGCTGCCCAATACTGTCACTATGGCGGTGTGTCCACTCACAGGATGAGTGACGCTGCCCAATACTGTCACTATGGCGGTGTGTCCACTCACAGGATGAGTGACGCTGCCCAATACTGTCACTATGGCGGTGTGTCCACTCACAGGATGAGTGGCGCTGCCCAATACTGTCACTATGGCGGTGTGTCCACTCACAGGATGAGTGGCGCTGCCCAATAAACTCGCCCCTCGATGCAAAATTTTAACTTTAAATTACACACTTAAGATATATTAGTACATGACAGGCGCTGGGATATTGAGCTATGAGACGTTGCCCAACCGCATGGGTCATCGGGGGATCGATCGCCGACCTTGCAAGACTCGAGGCCGGGGTTGTACCGACCAAATTAAATTCCCCTGATAAATTCCTTTCTTCAGTACCGTTAAGTGACATCTTAGGACCTATAGTACTGTTATGTGACATCTTAGGACCTACAGTACTGTTATGTGACATCTTAGGTCCTACAGTACCGTTAAGTGACATCTTAGGTCCTACAGTACCGTTATGTGACATCTTAGGTCCTACAGTACTGTTATGTGACATCTTAGGACCTACAGTACCGTTATGTGACATCTTAGGTCCTACAGTACCGTTAAGTGACATCTTAGGTCCTACAGTACTGTTATGTGACATCTTAGGACCTTCAGTACTGTTATGTGACATCTTAGGACCTATAGTACTGTTATGTGACATCTTAGGACCTACAGTACTGTTATGTGACATCTTAGGACCTACAGTACTGTTATGTGACATCTTAGGTCCTACAGTACCGTTATGTGACATCTTAGGACCTTCAGTACTGTTATGTGACATCTTAGGTCCTACAGTACTGTTATGTGACATCTTAGGTCCTTCAGTACTGTTATGTGACATCTTAGGTCCTACAGTACTGTTATGTGACATCTTAGGTCCTACAGTACTGTTATGTGACATCTTAGGACCTTCAGTACTGTTATGTGACATCTTAGGACCTTCAGTACTGTTATGTGACATCTTAAGACCTACAGTACTGTTATGTGACATCTTAGGACCTTCAGTACTGTTATGTGACATCTTAGGACCTTCAGTACTGTTATGTGACATCTTAGGTCCTACAGTACTGTTGTGTGACATCTTAGGACCTTCAGTACTGTTATGTGACATCTTAGGACCTTCAGTACTGTTATGTGACATCTTAAGACCTACAGTACTGTTATGTGACATCTTAGGACCTTCAGTACTGTTATGTGACATCTTAGGACCTTCAGTACTGTTATGTGACATCTTAGGTCCTACAGTACTGTTATGTGACATCTTAGGACCTTCAGTACTGTTATGTGACATCTTAGGACCTACAGTACTGTTATGTGACATCTTAGGTCCTACTGTACTGTTATGTGACATCTTAAGACCTACAGTACTGTTATGTGACATCTTAGGACCTTCAGTACTGTTATGTGACATCTTAGGACCTTCAGTACTGTTATGTGACATCTTAGCACCTACAGTACTGTTATGTGACATCTTAGGTCCTTCAGTACTGTTATGTGACATCTTAGGTCCTTCAGTACTGTTATGTGACATCTTAGGTCCTACAGTACTGTTATGTGACATCTTAGGACCTTCAGTACTGTTATAAGTCACAATAATATTAATATTTTATCTAAAACATTATGCAAAATGAAGCTAAATTTGATGCAATTCTTAACGTCAAAATAGACGGCTCGTCTAACGTAGTGTTGCGTTAAAAACGTTCACAGTTAATACAAAGCTTGAATACAACAGGTCACTGGAGGTAATGGAAGCTGCAGTGGAAGAGTATTGACTATAATCGGAGGGATCTCAACGGTAATTAGCAATATTTTAGTTACTGGAAGCCTGGGTAAGCCGAGCCGAGCATATAATTAACCTGAGATAAGCTATTCACCTCAACACACAGTGTATAAGGTGAATAATTACCTTAATGATCTCTCTATTGTAACTAGCACAATAATAATTGTAATGGGGAGATGTTGAGATGTGAGTCCCGTCCCCACCACACACTTAGGCCTTGACAAGACACTCAGAGGAGTGCAAAAGACTTGGTTTAAAATCTTGACATAAATTTCATAAATTACAGAAGTGTGAGTTTTTATCCTAAAAAAATAACAATAATAATAATTAGAAAATCCGTAGGAGCCGTGATGAAGATTCGAACCTATGCGGAGGGGTGTTCCCACGCACACGCTTTATAGCCACTAGACCAAGACATGTTGTAAGGATTGCAACCTGGAGTTCTACTGAACCTACGAGGGTTTCCTGAGGCTCCCACTGAAGCCTGACCAGGGGCCAGATTCACGAAGCAGTTACGCAAGCACTTACGAACGTGTACATCTTTCCTCAATCTCTGACGGCTGTGGTTACATTTATTAAACAGTTTACAAGCATGAAAACTTGCCACTCAACTGTTGTTATTGTTATAAACAGCCTCCTGGTGCTTCGGAACTCATTAACTACTAATTAATTGTAAACAAAGCCGCCAAAGATTGAGAAAAGATGTACAGGTTCGTAAGTGCTTGCGTAACTGCTTCGTGAATCTGGCCCCAGGATTTTAACACAATCCCCCCCCCTCCCTGTCACTCTGGTTCTGTCAAGCAGGACTGTTCTACTTCTTCTGTATGGTGGGTTCTGATTCCTGGGAGATACAATTCCCCTTCTACTACGTCCTCTCGGCCCCATGTCTCACTGATGTCAGTGATGTAGGGATTCTCAGTCTCATCGTAAACACATATCGAGTCGGCTTTATTGACTTGGGGCCAGATTCACGAAGCAGTAACGCAAGCACTTACGAACGTGTACATCTTTCCTCAATCTTTGACGACTTTGGTTACATTTATTAAACAGTTTACAAGCATGAAAATTTCCCAATCAACTGTTGTTATTGTTATAAACAGCCTCCTGGTGCTTTGGAGCTCATTAACTGTTTAATAATTGTAAACAAAGCCGCCAAAGATTGAGGAAAGATGGACAGGCTCATAAGTGCTTGCCTAACGGCTTCGTGGATCTGGCCCTTGGCTTTTGAGATTTGTGTAGAAACAATTTAATCTCCTGACATTATTCATGTGGGGCTGAAAGATTCCTCCTATATTTAGCACATTACTATTCTGTTCATTTCCGCTCTGGTTCTAAACCTGTTTGTCATCCGGGATATATAGATTTAGTTGTGCCTGACTGAGTGTCGGAAAAAAGACATCATTTACTAACATTTAACACAATATGCAGATAATATTGCTGCTAATTTTGTACTAATAAATTAACCCAAAATATTCTTAATTCATTCAAAGAAAACGAGAGTCTAGTTTAATTTTCCTTGGAAGAAAACGGGGATATCATTGCCACTTCGCCATTAAATTCAACAATTTAATTCAATTTTCGCAAGCTGCGAAAATCGCATGGTTTTTGGCTGCTAGCGGCGAAAATCGCGCGGTTTTTGGCCGGTAGCGGCGAAAATCGCGCTATTTTTGCCCGCCAGCTGCAAAAATCGCAAAGTTTCTGGTCGCTAGCGGCGAAAATCGCGCTATTTTTGGCCGGTAGCGGCGAAAATCGCGCTATTTTTGGCCGGTAGCGGCGAAAATCGCGATTTTAGCCTGCCAGCGGCGAAAATCGCACGGTTTATGGTCGCTAGCGGCGAAAATCGCGCTATTTTTGGCCGGTAGCGGCGAAAATCGCGATTTTTGCCCGCCAGCTGCAAAAATCGCATAGTTTCTGGTCGCTAGCGGCGCAAATCGCGCTATTTTTGGCCAGTAGCGGCGAAAATCGCGATTTTTGCCCGCCAGCGGCGAATATCGCACGGTTTTTGGCCGCTAGCGGCAAAAATCGCGGTATTTTTGGCCGGTAGCGGCGAAAATCGCATGGTTTTTGGGCGCTAGCGGCAAAATTCGCACGATTTTTGGCCGGTAGCGGCGAAAATCGCGATTTTTGCCCGCAAGCTGCGAAAATCACATGGTTTTTGGCCGCTAGCGGCGAAAATCGCGCGGTTTTTGGCCGGTAGCGGCGAAAATCGCGCGGTTTTTGGCCGGTAGCGGCGAAAATCGCGCTATTTTTGCCCGCCAGCTGCAAAAATCGCAGTTTCTGGTCGCTAGCGGCGAAAATCGCGCTATTTTTGGCCGGTAGCGGCGAAAATCGCGATTTTAGCCCGCCAGCGGCGAAAATCGCACGGTTTATGGCCGCTAGCGGCGAAAACCGCGCTATTTTTGGCCGGTAGCGGCGAAAATCGCGATTTTTGCCCGCCAGCTGCAAACATCGCATAGTTTCTGGTCGCTAGCGGCGAAAATCGCGCTATTTTTGGCCGGTAGCGACGAAAATCGCGATTTTTGCCCGCCAGCGGCGAAAATCGCACGGTTTTTGGCCGCTAGCGGCGAAAATCGCGCTATTTTTGGCCGGTAGCGGCGAAAATCGCGATTTTTGCCCGCCAGCTGCAAAAATCGCACGGTTTTTAGCCGCTAGCGCCGAAAATCGCGCTATTTTTGGCCGGTAGTGGCGAAAATCGCGATTTTTGGCCGCCAGCGGCGAAAATCGCACGGTTTTTGGCCGCTAGCAGCGAAAATCGCGCTATTTTTGGCCGGTAGCGGCGAAAATCGCGATTTTTGCTCGCCAGCTGCAAAAATCGCATAGTTTCTGGTCGCTAGCGGCGAAAATCGCGCTATTTTTGGCCGGTAGCGGCGAAAATTGCGATTTTTGCCCGCCAGCGGCGAAAATCGCACGGTTTTTGGCCGCTAGCGGCGAAAATCGCGCTATTTTTGGCCGGTAGCGGCGAAAACCGCGATTTTTATCCTCCAGCTGCGAAAATTGAATTTTTTTTTGGGCGCTAGCGGCGAAATTCGCACTATGTTTGGCCGGTAGCGGCGAAAATCGCGATTTTTGCCCGCAAGCTGCGAAAATCGCATGGTTTTTGGCCGCTAGCGGCGAAAATCGCGCGGTTTTTGGCCGGTAGCGGCGAAAATCGCGCTATTTTTGCCCGCTAGCTGCAAAAATCGCATAGTTTCTGGTCGCTAGCGGCGAAAATCGCGCTATTTTTGGCCGGTAGCGGCGAAAATCGGGATTTTTGCCCGCCAGTGGCGAAAATCGCACGATTTTTGGCCGCTAGCGGCGAAAATCGCGCTATTTTTGGCCGGTAGCGGCGAAAATCGCAATTTTTGCCCGCCAGCTGCGAAAATCGCATGGTTTTTGGGCGCTTGGGGCGAAAATCGCGCGGTTTTTGGCCGATAGCGGCGAAAATCGCGCTATTTTTGCCCGCAAGCTGCAAAAATCGCATAGTTTCTGGCCGCTAGAGGCGAAAATCGCGCGATTTTTGGCCACTAGCGGCGAAATTCGCACGGTTTTTGGCCGCTAGCGGCGAAAATCGCGCTATTTTTGGCCGGTAGCGGCGAAAATCGCGATTTTTGCCCGCCAGGTGCGAAAATCGCATAGTTTTTGGGCGCTAGCGGCGAAAATCGCGCGATTTTTGGCCACCAGCGGCGAAATTCGCACGGTTTTTGGCCGCTAGCAGCGAAAATCGCGCTATTTTTGGCTGGTAGCGGCGAAAATCGCGATTTTTGCCCGCCAGCTGCAAAAATCGCACGTTTTTTGGCCGCTAGCGCCGAAAATCGCGCAATTTTTGGCCGGTAGCGGCGAAAATCGCGATTTTTGGCTGCCAGCGGCGAAAATCGCACGGTTTTTGGCCGCTAGCGGCGAAAATCGCGCTACTTTTGGCCGGTAGCGGCGAAAATTGCGATTTTTGCTCGCAAGCTGCAAAAATCGCATAGTTTCTGGTCGCTAACGGCGAAAATCGCGCTATTTTTGGCCGGTAGCGGCGAAAATCGCGATTTTTGCCCGCCAGCGGCGAAAATCGCACGGTTTTTGGCCGCTAGCGGCGAAAATCGCGCTATTTTTGGCCGGTAGCGGCGAAAATCGCGCTATTTTTGGCCGGTAGCGGCGAAAATCGCGATTTTTGGCCGCCAGCGGCGAAAATCGCACGGTTTTTGGCCGCTAGCGGAGAAAATCGCGCTGTTTTTGGCCGGTAGCGGCAAAAATAGCGATTTCTGCCCGCCAACTGCGAAAATCGCGCGGTTTTTGGCCGGTAGCGGCAAAACTCGCGATTTTTGCCCGCCAGCTGCAAAAATCGCTTGGTTTTTGGCCGCCAGCGTCGAAAATCGCGTGGTTTTTGGCCAGTAGCGGCGAAAATTGCGCTATTTTTGCCCGCAAGCTGCAAAAATCGCATAGTTTCTGGTCGCTATAGCGGCGAAAATCGCGCTATTTTTGGCCGGTAGCGGCGAAAATCGCGATTTTTGCCCGCCAGCTGCGAAAATCGCACGGTTTTTGGCCGGTAGCGGCGAAAATCGCGATTTTTGCCCGCCAGCGGCAAAAATCGCATAGTTTCTGGTCGCTAGCGGCGAAAATCGCGCTATTTTTGGCTGGTAGCGGCGAAAATCGCGATTTTTGCCCGCTAGCGGCGAAAATCGCACGTTTTTTGGCCGCTAGCGGCGAAAATCGCGCTATTTTTCGCCATTAGCGGCGAAAATCGCGATTTTTGCACGCCAGCTGCGAAAATCGCATGGTTTTTAGGCGCTAGCGGCAAAATTCGCACGATTTTTGGC